GACAGGGAGAACAATGTGAAACAAAACTCAAAATCATTTGGGAAAAAAAAAAAAAAAAAGGGAGGGGACCAGGTTTGTTGGCCTGATGGAGTCTGGTGGAACCACTGAGACTATGGCCCCTAGCTGCCCTTCAGTTCTGGAATTGAACGCATGCGTCTCGCTTCCAGCCAAACAATGGACAGGCATATGAGTTGAACATTTACCTGAGGTAGATACTTTCCTTGGAGAGAACAAGCATTGGAGAAAGAAGGGCTCTTTATGCACAGGGAGACAGCTCAGGGGGCAGGAATGCATGGAGGGATGGACACAGGGAAGAGGTAACTGTTGGGAAGAAGTGAGAGGGGAGATGTTGCATTGTGGTAAATTGTGGTCAATGTCTTGAGACAAAGTGTATGTGAACTGCTGTATAGAAAGTGTATTTGCTCTGCAAAGTTTTACCCAAATCACAATAAAAAGAAAAAAAAAAGTAGAAGTAATAGAAGGCTTACAAGTAGTGAGTTTTTAGAAGCAACCAAAAAACCACTTCTTCCTACATCATTTTATGTAAAGGTTAGAAATACTCTCTTTAACAGATAATTTCACTATTTATTATTTTCTGAAGATAAAGATATATGCTTTTGTGGTGGTATATTGCTGGAATATCAATTATTTAATACATTTTATATCTGGTTGAACCACATTCTGTAGATAATGCTAGGGCCTAGATATCAGGTACCACAGAGAATTATGGTTAAGGAAAGAAGAAGAAGACAAAAGAAAATGCTAAATCATGGGGTGTTCCTGCACAGAGCCCTCTTTTGTGGCTCCCCAAACATGTATGCCTCCATGAAAACAGACTCAAACTAGGACTTCTGTGACAAAATGGCCTTGTTTTCACACATCAAATTTCTCACTTCATGAATATCTAAAATTTTAGTAAAACAAAATTTTGCAGAAGGAAAATTTCCTCAGATAACAGTACCTAATAGACCAGTTAAACCTCAAGTGTTAATGGCTGATGATTCCTTAATGTTGTATATTTCCTAAATCTTCTGTGAGAAACTGTCTATGAATGCCAAATTTTCTTTCCAGCGAAAGATAAACACAGATGGAATCTCAGGCTTTCGAACAAGTGAGTTCATTTTGAACAAACGATTATTAATTGGCTTCCTTAGTTCATTCCACATAATGCCTATTTACTTTGCTTCTATGGTGACCAAACATTTCTGAGTCTCCAGTTGTTCACAAGTGCTCTGGGTTTTTGACACTGGTAAAGAGATTTCTTGAATAGAGCACCTAAATGGTGAAATAGGTCAATTAAGATGAGGAGCTCAGAAATAGTGATACAGCCTCTTTGAGGATTTGAGAGTCTAGGGGGAAAAAAAATGGATGCCTTATTTTACTAATATATGATGGAAAATATCATTGAGATTCAGCCCATGAAAAAGTTTTGCCTTAGAGTTGGTTAGTATTCATGGTGACTCTATAGGACAGAGCTGAACTGTCCCATAGGGTTTCCTAGATTGGATCTTTACCTACAGAATGACTGGTGGTTTCAGACCACCAATATTTGAGTTAGCAGACAAGTACTTAACCATTGCACCAACAGGGCTCCTGTGAGATTCAGCACAGGGATACTAAATTCTTGAAAGTCATCCATCAACCCTGAGAGCCCTCCAGGAGTACTGTAAGTCTCAAGGCGATTGGCTCCATCTCAGCTGCAGCTTCCACTTTCATCACAAGTCCACTCAGGTTCAACTTCCTTACTCCCACCCCCCCCTTTATTTAGTTAGTTTTGCAGTACTCCCTCTCCTCTCCTCCCACCCCTGGTAACCAACAAAATTTCCTTCCATACATAAACATTTCCTTGGATTTTTACAATAATACATTTTTTTTTTTTCTTAGTACAAATTAGCTTCAGAAACATAGCTCAGCCACCAAATACAGAGATTTTGTAGAGTCACTTGTGGAACTATACAGAAAACTGAGGTTCTCACTGCCTTTTGTTTCAGGAAACTGGTGTGGGCACAGTCACAATTCAAATAGCATACAAATAGTAATAACAATAAAGAATCTAAAATGTAATTTATTTTATTTACCTTCAGGAACACTGTTACTATGAAGGATACATCCAAAATGAAGAGAGATCTGTTGCCAGCATTAGTACTTGTGATGGGTTGAGGTGAGAGCCACCCTTAAAAATGTTAAAAATGAAGCAAAATTTTGTTACACAGAATTAAATCTTCCTGGGACATTTTGTTTTCTTACTATTTTGGTAAAATATTATAATCACTGAAATGCTTAATATACATGGCATTTAATAATTTCATAATTTGCTGCTTTAGCAGAAGTCAGCTCCGGCCATTTTCTAAACAACAGCACTCTACTCTGGACCTTGATGACACCTGTATTCATGCCCATATTTATCTGCTCCATTCCCTGAAGCCACATGTTTTATATTTTTAAAGAGTCTATCCTGCAATTTGGAGCTCTGATGGCGTAGTGCCTTAGGTATTTGACTGTTAACCAGAAGTCTGGCGGTTCAAACCTACCAGCCACTCCTCAGAAGGAAAATTGGGCAATCTACTTCCATTGTGATACTGCCTCAGAAACCCAAGAAGGGGTCGCTGTGAGCCAGTTCTGACATGATGGCAGAGCATTATCCTGCAATTGTCCCAAAAGAATTCAGTTTATGTACTTATTGTCTTTTTTATTATTATTCTAAACAGTCCCCTACCAGGGCCTGGTTTTCAGCATTTTTTCTATTCCCTGTTCCTGGTTGAAACTCTGC